TGTAGGGGGTGCCTCAGTTACTGTAGGGGATGCCTCAGTTACTGTAGGGGGGGATGCCTCAGTTACTGTAGGGGGGGATGCCTCAGTTACTGTAGAGGGGTATGCCTCAGTTACTTTAGGAGATGCCTCAGTTACTGTAGGGGATGCCTCAGTTACTGTAAGGGGGGAAACCTCAGTTACTGTAGTGGGGGACGCCTCAGTAGGGGAGGCGGTGTCGACATCACTGACATGCTCTACTCTCCTGGATACTGATTTTGTTAAACTAGATAGACTTTCTACCTCCTCCACAGACACCCTATCATTCTGTGCATTTGGTGGCAAACTAGGCAATGTCATGCCCCCGACGTGACCGCTGTCAAACTCCTCAATTGCCCCCATTGGAGCTTGACGCGCGGAATCCTCCACCTCAAACACAAGAGGCTCGGCCATACCTCGACCGCCAAATTTAGGTGCTTTCTTCAAGCTCAGTAGTCCCACTTTCTCTCCCTTCAACCCCTCCATTACAATGGCCACTTTCTCCCCCTCCACCCCCTCTAATACCAGGGCCACTTTTTCTCCCTCTGCACCGGGTCCCACCTCACTGAGTACTGTAGGCAGGGGTCTGGCTAGCAGTACAGTTCCATCGCCGGCGCGGAAATCAACACTCTCCCTGTTCTGCATGCATTGCGCTATAATACTTGCAGTTTCTTCCTCATCATTCAGTAACCCAAGTTTCCTTGCTGCAGCCGCACCATCCACATCCACCACCTTATCTCCTGTGTCCACCGCGGACAGCTTCTGGAGCGAAGACTCCTCAGGCTGTATCACCTCCTTTTCGTGATCGTGTTCGTCAGTCACAACATCGGCGGTGAATTGGAAGCACTTGCTCGTCTTCTCCGGGTCATGCACGCCGCTCCTGATGAGATCCTGTGCGCTGGCAATCGTCAGAGTAGCAGACTGATAACCACGACTCGAACCTGAGACGTCCTTTACGCATGCATTCAAGTCGTCGTATCTATTCCGTGGGAGAGCCACCACCAACTTCAAGATATCGGCCGGTATCCTCTCGTCGTGGATGCTCAGGTCGCCAAACGACACAAAAAAATAGTCGATGGCGACGGTAGCTGCAGCGCCCACATACTGAACCGGAGGGATCGCGCGTGGCACAAGGGGCAACTCTTTCAGAACCATGATTGTATTGTCCCACACGCCTTCCATGGCAGGCTTTTTATCAAACCAGAGGGAGGCTAGGCCGCCAATCAAGCCATGACTCTGAAAGCGTATCAATGTGCTCGCCAGAGAATCAAGAACATACCCTGGCACCTGCTTCATCTTCTTCGCAACCATCATCTCCCTGATGGATGGATGGAACACCAATCGCTTGCACTCAGTGTCTACTGCGACTAAGTTAAAGTCCAATATAGGATGTGGATGTTGAGTCCTGCCATTATGATACCGGAAGCAAAACAACAAAACACCTCAGTCAGTCAGTCAGTCAATCAGTCAGCCAGTCAATCAGTCAGCCAGCCAGTGAGATTGAGATATTCCAGGAGGAGGTCACCCTCGAAAATGACGACGGCGAAGTCATGGAAGTCCGCTTGTGAACCCACAGCAAATGGTCATATAGCTCTTAGGAGTCTTATCACACACCCATTCATCATGATATTATTATTCGAGGTTCGATTTAAATTTCCTTCCATTAGCTTTTTTGTTTGTCTTTGGCAGAAAGGCGATGCTGGTACAGTAGTGACAAGGTCACTCTAGTTCACAATGATCTTCATTTGCACATCAATTTATGTCCTCTAAGAGAATTAAGCCCCAATGCATATATGATGTGCTTCTTTAGTACCTATCTAGTACATGGAGCAAGCTATCTTAGTTTTCTTTTTTTTTTGAAAGTCCCATAAGTATTAACCCTTCCATCAACTCATTGACAAGCTTGTTGCCCTCCGGACATAGACTGCATCTGGCTGGGGATCAAGAAATGCTTCTTACCGAGATTCATTGATAAGTACCGTCTTCAACCGAATAGAACGCCCAGTCATTATAGCCGTATTTGGTCCACTTTTCAGTCCAGAGACAGTTCTAATAACCCGGCGTTCTATTCGGGTGAAGACGGCATTCGCTGAAATTTTCCACATCGAGTTCATGTACGCTATGCACAACACCACAAAAAAGCAGGACTGTGCCACCGAACTGTTTCGTCGAAATCTCGGTCGAGTCTCAACCGACTTATCAGGAGGTTGCCCCTCCGAGTCTTGTGTGTGTTGTCATGTTCGCTATACCCAACTCCACAAAAAAAAAAAGCGCACGACTTTTTTTTTTTTTGGAGTGCCAGGCTGTTTCGTCGGACTTTCACCGAGTCATCAGGAGGCTGAACCCCGTGTGCGTACGTGTCACGACACGACTGGGGAAGCGGTAAAACAAACGCGGTGGGCGGAGATTCTTACAGAGCACCCAAAAAAAAGCGAGTTCCTACCAAACGACGCGCGCGGGAATTCTTAGTACAGAGCACCCAAAAAAAAAAAAAAAAGAACGACGCGCGCGGAGATTCTTACAGAGCACCTCCCCCCCCAAAAAAAAGAACGACGCGCGCGGAGATTCTTACAGAGCACCCAAAAAAAAAAGAACGACGCTCGCGGAGACTCGTACAAAGCACCCCAAAAAAAAAAAAAAGACATTCATCTGGCAGAACGAACGACCGTAAGTAAGTCTTCTGTGAACTCCATCGAAAAAAGCCGTTAAAATTGGAACGATACAGAGAAGATTAGCATGGCCCCTGCGCAAGGATGACACGCATAAATCGAGAAAAGCCGATCAGAATGGAAACCAGATCGATTCGTCCCATTCGTTGAACAGATGCAATCTGACAACAGTGCAGATGCTTCAAGCCGCGATCGAACGACATGATCCCGATTCGTTGACTGAATGCCATCTAGCGACAGCACACTGAGCACAGATTACAGTATTATATCCTGAACAACCGATCTGATTCAACGAACGATTGCCAACCCGCCCATCGTAAACTTCCGATCCATCATCGTTTCCTTCTTCTGAATACAATACAGCCTTTGATGGCCGACCGTCAAGATCCCAATCATCCCATCATCACGCCCACAACCAGTATCTCCCCAAAACGCCCGGCGAAACTATGTACGTAGTCTTCCTGGGGGCGACTTTCATCAAGCGGGAGTCAAAGTCAAAGTCAAAGTCAAAGTCAAAGGGAAAGACCTGCTGATGAATCAAACGGTCGAAACGGCTCATATCAAAGACCTTATACAACAGAGGAAGCGTGTTTCCATCGAGCGGCTCTCGCGCAGCAGATGCAGATGCCGCGGTGTGGAAACGTCCAGGGCATATTATGTCATGACCATGGACGAACTCTTTTGCAAATTTCAGAAGAAGATTACCTTCTTCCTCCGAATACAACGTACGGTCATTATAGCTGTATTTAGACTGAAAGATGGGCCAAATTCAGCTGTAATGACCGCACGTTCTATTCCGGGGAAGAAGTTTAATCCAGCTACTACCAGGTAGTTAGTGTGAGCATCTCATCAATCTGTGATTATCAATAGCCGTCAACACAAGTTATCTCAGCAATCACACAATCATGTACCTACGGTACCAGCTTATATTTGATTACCTGAAGCTCAATGACGTGTAGAAGCACCCACCGCTGGATCTGTTAGACAAATAGAATATCCATCATTATAGCTGTATTTAGACTCAAAGATAGGCCAAATTCAATTACAATGACCGCACGTTCTATTCCGGGGAAGAAGATTAATCCAACAGTACTAGGTAGTGTGAGCATCTCATCAATCTGTGATTATCAATAGCCCTCAACACAAGTTATCTCAACAATCACACAATCACAGACAAATGGAATATTCATATCTATAATCGTTATTATACCCATCTAACGATTTCTACCCACCATCTCAATAATCACACAATGATCACAGATGTTATCGGACCATCGGACAAATCTGTGAGCAAAATGGCCATCAATGATTTCTAGCCATGATCTCAACAATAAGACAATCACAGACAATATCTAATCATCGCAAAAATCTGCGATTACGGCAATCAACGAGGCCACAACCACACAATCACAGACAACTTCCGAGCATCTCTGCAAATCCCACCACCACACAATCACAGACAATTTGAAACCATCTCCACAATCAAAGACGACGACAACCACACAATCACACAATGAGAGAGAGAATTTCTGACCGTGCATTCGCACACAATCACAGACAATTGGAAACCATCTCCAGAATCAAAGATGACGACAACCACACAATCACACAATGAGAGAGAGAATTTCTGACCGTGCATTTCGCAGACAATGGGCGTCGCCGGACTACTCTCGAAATGTGCAAAACGCGAGTCAATCTTCCGCTAGAACATGGAAAAATACACCGCCATGACTTTTTTGTCTTTTGTGCATGTCGAAAGTAGTCTGTGGAGTGAGGCCCAAATTTCCGACCACCTCTACAGAGCAGAAGTTCATTCTCTGCGAAGCCGACTCACAGGCTACCACCGCAGATCAGTACGTGGCAGACTCGACTCGTACCATTTTCCATGGTTCAAAAGCATGAATCTGGACGTAATAGCAGCCAGGTTCTTGTTTTCCTAGAATGGACACGTAGCACCAGTGCGGCCTGCCCCTAAATGTCGGAATCCCCCTCTCGAAAATGCCGACAGCAAAGCTTGTTCCTTAGATTGCATCATTTGCATCATTGGCATCCCTGTAGATTGCATCATTTGCATCATTGGCATCCCTGATCCATATATTCAGCTCTCTAAGGACAACATCAGATCCAAGTTCATCCAACACATTTAAAACCCAGGATTCGATGGGAGGAAGACATTAAATAAAATCGCGGTCTCACCAGCTTCCGTCAAAACAGACGATAAGAGTCTCAGCAGCTTCCACTGCTTCTGAATCACCGGATTCGCTCAGCGATGGATTCTCCCCTCCCTTCACTCTATGGTTACCCTCCTGGAAATACCAGGAGCTTCAACCCCAGTCCACTGTACTCACGACCCCCACGAGAGATAAACTTACGTCGAGACTGCCACACATGCATGCACAATCACTCACATCCACACAGAGAGAGAGAGAGAGAGAGAGAGAGAGAGAGAGAGAGAGAGAGAGAGAGAGAGAGACCACGAGCTTCCACCCCAGTCCACTGTACTTACGACCCCCACGAGAGATAAACTTACGTCGAACCTGCCACACATGCATGCACAATCACACACATGCACACACAGACAGAGAGAGAGAGAGAGAGAGAGAGAGAGAGAGAGAGAGAGAGAGAGAGAGAGAGAGAGAGAGAGAGAGAGAGNAGAGAGAGAGAGAGAGAGAGAGAGAGAGAGAGAGAGAGAGAGAGAGAGAGAGAGAGAGAGAGAGAGAGAGATGGAAAGAGAGAGGAAGGGGGGGGCGCCGGGGCGGGGATCAGACTACCGCGAAACGATTGAGATGTTACAGAGCGGCTTCCAGCTCACCCTGGTCGTTCCCCAAGATGAGCCCCACTCGACGCTTGGTTCTCACACTGGCAGAGAGCGGGCGTCCGCGAACCTACCGCTCCCGCGAGAGCGCTGGTCCACCGACAACAAATAATTTCCCGACCCGATAGTCGAGCGAACTGCGCTCTCTCAAAACTTGGCACAGCACAACATACCACACCCAACCAACCACGCGCGACTACAATACGATCGCTCATACGAATCTGTTTCCTCAACGTCGTTGCAACAGTATATTATCGTTGTCGTTAGCCGTCCTTCGTCCTTATCCCTGCTACTGCTACTGCTATTTTGTTCGCTCTAGCCTCTCGCTACTCTTTTACTGCCGCGTCTGGTAATGGTAATTCTGGGAATCTGGGAAAGTCGTGGGACGCTGTAAATAACCGAGAGCTGGCGGTCAATTGGTCCCCCGTTCCGCACTCACCGATTCATCCTGCCCCCTACCGGTAGCTGGGCGGGGGTTGCCGAACCCCTCCGGATCCCGCCGACAGCACTCAGTCCGCCGTCTCCATTTCGCCCCACAAGCGTTAATCTATACCCCACCCCACCCATCACCATCATCAACGCCCCATCATGTATACCATCCATCCTGCAGACTCTATGGTTTTTTTTTTTTGTTTTTTTTTTTTTAAAGCTATGTTCTTCTCTAAGGTTTGACACAATGTCATTCATTCACAACACAATTTCATTCATAATTTCATTCATAATTTCATTCGTAATTTCATTCATATTAATAAGTCCCCGCAGATATCACTACGAAATAAATATGCCACATCTCAGGGGCCATCCTCAAATTCGTCAAACCTCAGAATGCCTACTGTTTTTCAGGCAGGAGCTCGGCTCTGCAGCTCACAGCACACAGG